GGGCATTATTGTTAGTATTTGTTTAGCGATATGATGAACTGCGGTATCCTAAATTTGAGTCAATGTAATGCCTTCCGCTTGTAATTTCTTAGTTTTTACAGTATTGCCTGTGTTACATTCTGTTTTTTATAACTTATGATAAAGGCATTTAAACCACAGGATAGAAAACAAACTAATCAATATATTGCTGGACGGTCGTCTTTTAATTTCATTGACGAGTGTTGATGTTAACTTGTAAAGCTGTTTTGAAGAAATATATTCAATTAACTTGCCAGATATTGTATTTCTTATGGAACTAATAATATAACGTAATCTTCATCTTCCTAATACATACTTTTCGCGATCCCATACATTTAAAATTGATGGACTAATACACTATTTAAATGTGGACAATGTTGAATATTGTTTTTTCCAACTTGGTCATGTTACAACATTCAACAATCAAACTTTGATTTATGGTTAACATAGATATATAACCATTTTCAATTCATTTTGTCATAATTTTGTTTTCCGGGGAGCTAAACATAAACAAAATTACAAGAAAATTATGATACTTTATTTTTAAAGAACTTTTTTATTTACAATTAAAACGAAAAACAAAATTCACTTATTGATTATAACACCACATAAAAAGTATATTTAGTCCCAATAATGAGACCAGTAAGCTAATATTTTCTTGTATACACCGTTATTTAAAATAAAAATTATGACACGCCTGTAAAAAATTAAAATCTATATAAAATATTTGTTAAGTTTCGGGGAAAGAATTAATATAAAAACAGAATTATAATTAAAAGTTCTGTTATGAATTATATGATTGTTATGAAATTATATTAATGTAAATATACTCTGCAATATAAAGTGATATACACGTTGTAAGAAAGGTAACTTAAAAATGCTTCATATTATACCATAGAAGCTCTACACTATCACGATGTCTTAGAACTGTTTACCTTAAGCTGCAGTCTCACTTACTCCCGGCAGAGCCCAGGACCATCCCGGTAAGTTACCGGGATGATCCTGGACGATCCGGGGTGAAATTATTGTTGCGGTCACACTTACCCCGGCAGCACTACGGTAGTTCCCAACTTACCACCCAGGATGCGCTCCGGATCATCCAGGCAGAGCCCAGGTGAAGCTACGGTTCATTCCCGGATGACGCCAGAAGAGCCCCGGTTGACCCAGACAGAGCCCCGGTCGATCCAGGCAGAGCCCCGGCAGAGCCCAGGACGATCCCGGCAGAGCCCCGGTAGAACCCCGGTGGATTGAAAACGCCCGAAAATGATAACTTTGATACATAATTTTTATTTAATATAATATCTGTTGTTCCAGAATAGTAATTCATGATGATTTTCTGAAAAATCCTTATGCCATACTGGATAGAAGGGAAATGGGAAGGGTTTTAATACAAACAAGTGCAATCATCGCAAATTGTCGTTATTCTTTTGAAATGATCCGGGCTTTGCCGGGGCTCTACCGGGATCAACCGTAGCTCTACCTTTATCCACCGGGGCTCTGCCTGTATAGTTACCGGGGCTCTGCCGGCATATACCGGGCTCTACCGTAGTTCTACTGTAGCTCTACCGGCTGTATCATACCCCGGATTATCCCAGTTTTGTGCCGGCAGAGCTACGGTGCTTCCCGGTATAACCCCGGTCGTTCCGGCAGAGCTTAGGATGAAGCCGGCATCATCCCGGACCACCCTAATATTTCATTCCATCCGGGGTCGAATGCCGGATGTTCCCGGATCATTCCGGATCATCCCGGACGTTGCCGGCAGAGTAACGGATGTACTCCGGTTGTTCCAGGTCGTTCCCGTATCACCCCGGACGTCTACCGGGGCTCTGCCGGGATGTAGCTTTAGTTGTCAAACCTCTAGAACCCTAAAAGAAAGAGTTATGACTTTCATTGGATGATTCTGGCAAATACGAAGGCAGATTTGCTCATTGTTTTTACTTGCGGTAATTGCAAAAAGAAATAGAAAAAATAATCAACACAAATTTTAAGTGTGTTTGTTAAGAAGATAATTATAAAAGTTATATGAAAGATGGATTTTAAACAAACGCGACAAAAAATATATTGTAACATTAACATGATCATTTTATTTACAGAAATTTTAAAGTAAATTTAAATAGTTAAGAATCTATTATTTCTCAGAGTTTTTCAATAGCACAATTGAATTTAAACAAGAGAATAACACTGGCTTTTCATATAAGTAAAATAAGCTGATCCAAACTGTAATTTATCACTTCATGTTTGCACACTTTATATCATTAAAATATTGAAGTTTTTGAAACAATTTGAATACAGCCAAGTTTGTCTTTGTTTATGCTTTCAGAAGGAAGCCGAGTTAAACTCGTCTATGAGAACCAATACATTTATGTAGTCCTTTTCCTCTTCCATTGTAATTTCAATATTTTAATGCAGGTGTTTTGGTTTTTTCTTGCCTGTGAAGTCAATGAAAGTATAGGCTGTCCATTCATTGAAATGTTTCTGTCAGATTTATCATCCTCTGTACTAGAATAAAATTGATTCTATAATTAACCTTGAAAGCACAAATCTTTGCAACATAAACTATCAAGAGTGCAATCAACTTAACAAAAATACATTACATAACATCTAATAAGGAATTACACATTTATAAGCTATAACTTACAGCCAATGAAAACGGAAGCAAAATGATCTCGTAAATGAACTCACACATTATTGATTATGCCTAAATTTCACCAGTGATTTCACCAATATATTACAGATATTCCTCTAGAAATGTATTACATTGTCAAATGAAAGTTTAATAAACTATGAAATTCTAAACAAAATAAGGGAGTGTTGACATAATGGTCCAGATCTCCGCCTCTCAGCCGAGGAATAGTGGGCTCAAGTTGCCGAACACAGACTCTTTGGGAATAATTTATTATTAAGTTGATTTACCCTAAAATGAGTCCTATATTTGACAATTTATCAATAACCTGTGCAAGAGGCACGTGGAACCATTTCATAACATAATCAAAGCAGTGTGCAATGGTGGGACGTACACAAGTCATTGCAATGAATTCGAAATTACAAATTATTAGGCTTAATTATAAAATAATCCCTTTTAATTTACTTACCATTGTTTTCCGCAAGTTTACCTCAGCAGATTTTTTTCAACAAAATGGCGGGCGCACATGTGTGTACATTCGGAATACTTCTATTTGATACATACATAGACTTAGACTGTTAATAAGCAGTTAGCAGTAGGCAGTAAGCAGCAGGCTGTCCAGTTAGCAGTAGGCAGTGAGCAGTAGGCTGTCGTTTATGGAATTCCGTATAATAGTCATGTCGCTATTGTATTTCTAAATTCATGAAATGATTTTTTTCATTGAAGTGCACTGATAGCCATTGTTTGTTCAACAATTATGTCAGTCCTGCATATGTTTCAAATAACCTGACAAAAATGTGCCGGAAATGACCATAAAATATTGTACGTAAGATTGATATCTCCAGCTTAAAGGTCAAGGGAAAACTTGTCATTATGTGTTGGTCATGATATGGACAAGAATTAAGTCTCATTTTAAAGGGTGACGGTCGCATTCGTACGTTGAATGTCATGATATGTTACTCTTTATACACTAATGATCGTATTCGGTAAACAATTCTGTTATTTCGAAAACGATTTAAGATTACTTTGCAGAAATGTTTTAGACCTGATATTAACGTGTCGCACAATAAGGTTTGCTCTCCTGGTAAAACAGGTCAAGGACACACACAAACGCGAACGCGCACGCACGCACACACACATACACACACACGTCCGGATTTATAATATGATTTTCTTTCATAAAATGCAGTTATAGTCTTGTCCGTCATTACTGGATTAATGTTCAAATAACTTAGAATTGATATGTTAGATACCATAACGCTATGGATTCAAAATGGCAAGGTCCGATTGTACTTTGATTTTTTTTTCATACACTGTCGTGTTTGGCCAATAATATAGTAGTTCTTTTGTGGATGGCATTCATGTGTTAAACAAAAATCATGTCTCAAACTTAAAGGTCAAGGTAACATGGTACATCCAAAGTTTTGATTTGAATGGAATAAATGGTCATGTACAGTCCATGACTTATTATACATGGATGGATTTTGAAATAATGATAAATAAATGTTTAACACAATGAGCCGAAGTGTAATACGCTTAAACAAGTATGTTAGCCCAAAAATCCAAGCAAGTTGTACATGTATTTATTGAGGGATTGAAACACAAATGGTCATTGTTATGACTTCTGGTGTGAAACATGTAATGTAGGTTAATATATGCAAGGTCATGGTCACTAAAGATGATTTCAAGCTCACTAAATATGATAAAATATAGAGATTTTGTCCAGAGCATATCTCCTACACATACGAAGGGATTCTTATGAAACCAGGTCTCTAGGTTAAAGGTCAAGGTCACACTTAGAGGTCATTAAAAAAACGGTTGTCTGGAGCAAAACTTTTACATGCATAAAGGGATTTCAATATAACTTATCACAAATGTTTACTATTGTAAGGCGGAATGTCGCGTGTAAAATTTAGGTCTCTGCGGCTAAGGTCAAGATCACACATTGGGGTCAAAGTTCAGGTAAAAAATCACTAGAGATGATAAGATATCCAGATATGTTCCGGATGGTGCCCAGATCATATCTCCTATGTGCATATCCATGATACTCACATGTCTGTCAAAAGCTGCTGTGATGGCTGTTGCCCTTGTTTTCCTTTAAATGTACTTTTTTTGTTCTTGGCCGGTTAACGATCACGACGACATGTTTTGTTTAAGATAATCATTGGACATGGACAGAGACATGAGCCTAACAAATATTTTAAAACAATGTAGGCAGCGGCTAGCAATTACCTAAGTTAGTGTTTAAATTAAATTTTCATCTCATTTTTACCTATTGTTTTTAATTATCTATGATAAAGAATTTAGATATATGTTTTCTGCAATAGATGACAGAGTAAATGAGATATTTCTGTTTTAGATTCCTGAAAATCTGACAGAGGAGACAATAGCGATGGTTAACAAAGCCAAATGGATGAATTGGTATGATTATCTTAAAAGAAAGAACTTAATGTTTTGGTTTGGTTTAAGCACTCCGCTTCCTATCTTTATATATTTGTTTATATGTAAGACAGAGGACTTAGCTAACGCATCACGTACACACTTCTCAAGTGATTACTTGGATTGGATTGAAAACCGGCTGACATCGTTCTTTATTGTTTTGATGTTCATCTTAGCTTTGGGCATACTTTACATTGTCCTAATACCAATAATATGGCGCAGACAATTGGTAAGTTAGCTTTTTTCCCTTTTTTTCCAAAAAATAAATGTATAATCTATAAATCATACGCGCTTGAACATTCAAGTCGTGAATTAGTGATGTACAAATATCATAGTTTTAAGACCATTGCATTTTAAAGCATAGTATATAAATCTGTCTAACAACCTTCTAGACAAAATTTATCTTCTTGCAGTATTGACAGATAACAGCTGTTATTACACAAAAATCGGCACTCATAGGTAGTTCTTAACAAAGAAGTAAACACTGACTCATATACGCCAGCCATTGATTCGGACAAAAAATTGACTTCTTCACAAACAAATGTAAACATTATATGAATTATTTGTATTTCAGGGCGACCTTGTTCTTCAAAGTGAGATGTGGCAACAGTTTGGAGATCAGTTCTATGCTTCGAACTGCCTGATTCTATTTTCTCATAAGAACAAGTTACCAGTTGTATGTTTTACTATCGTTGATTTTAATTAAAGATTAATAATTGCCTTAATTGATTCTGCTTGAACTGTTTTGTCAGTATTTAATTAGTTGTAACACAAACCTTTACTTAAGGCCCGGTCACACAGCCTTTCGCGTCTGTATCGCGGGTAAAATTTCGCGATTTCTTTTTGCGGTTGCCCGTGGTGGAAAATGTGCAAAATTGGCTGACCCGCGGTTTACCCGTGGTATGCCCGCGGAACAGACGCCGGCGACTGTTCCGCGTCCTTATCGCGGGTGAAGCGCGGCGGTACCGCGGCCTACCACGGGTATAATAAGGCAGCCGAACCGGGCTGTTCTGGAGACCCTCTCTGAAATCACTTTCATTGTAGATGTGGGCATCAGACGAAGACCCCTTGCCGCTGACGTCTATCCAGAGGAACTTGTAGTCAGATGCGACGACTGCCAGGAGGATGACACTGAAGAAACTTGTAGTTGAAGTAGTCGGACCCAGTGTTGGCAGGAGATTTACAGGCAATGTGCTTGCCGTCTATTGCAACAACTGTTCATCCAATTGTCACTAATCTGACGCCACTCTGCAGCAGTCTGTGGTGGCGCGAGCAGCTCATCACGGAACTCCTCGACGATGTCCGCACACACTTCGCGTAACACCAGACTGATGGTGTTGTGAGGGACCCTTCAGCCATACTGCATCTCACGGTACTTGGCGCCAGAAGCAAGGTGCCTCAGGGTGAGGCCAACCTTCAGGCCTGGATCAAGGGGTGCTCGCCAGTTGGTGGTCTTCTTGGTAAGGGCTGGTGTCAGTTTCTGCACAATTTCATCGAACATGGCAGGTGGCATTCTCATGAAGTTCTGGAAGGCCCTTGGATCTTCATTACGGAGCTCCACCATGAGACGAGCGTACAACCCCAGCTCAGGTCTCCTGCCAATCCAGTCGCGCACCCAGATGTTCCGGACCACCCTCCTCCTCCTTCGTCTTCTTCTGTCAATGAGGAGCTGATGGACCTGTACCACTTGGTTCTGATGCTGCTGGAGCAGCAAGAAGAGGTCATTACGGTGACGAGGATCCATGTTCACCTCTTGACGTCTGGAGCACAACTGACGAATGCTCGGCAAATCGCGCTTTTTATATTCCTAAAATCAGACGTTGTACGGACGCGATTAGGCCGTGGACAATCGTATTTGGGACGTGTACAAGACGCAATTGAACGTGATTAGGCCGGTATTGGGGCGCGCTGTTTACGCGGAGAAAGGCGTTTGTCCGTGCTTACACGCGGTACACACGCTAATGCACGTGATAACAACGCGGTACAGACGCGGAACAAACGTGCTATGACCGTGCTCCACCCGCGATTACCCGCTAAAATTTCGCGTCCTACCGCTTGTAACCACGTCTTAACCGCGGCCGTAGCACGTCCTAGCACGTTCGTTCCGCGTCTGTACCGCGTCTTTACCGCGTGTGTACCACGTGTACCGCCCGCGATTACCCGCGGTCTAAATTTTTGGCCAGCCCAAAACTTTTTGGCGCGGCCAACCGCGTGTGAATTTCTTACCGCGTGTAACGACGGGTAAAGTACGGCTGTATCGCGTCTTTATCGCGACCTCAAAGCGTCCAACAGCGTCTGCTTCACGGGCAGAAATATTTGGCCGTTATTCGGCCGCGATACGCTCGTGGAGGGCTGTGTGACCGGGCCTTTATAAAAAAAACCACAAAAAAAACCTAAAGAAAAACACACGAAAAGCATATACTTGCATCTTTATTTTATATATGTTAAAGCACCCCATGGATAGAAACCACGTCTAAAATCAGTTTCTTTAAAGAGTTTTGCCTGATTGTCGTGGCCGTCATATTGTAGACAACTCGTAAGAAACCTTTGAAAAGATTGTTACCACTTCTTATTATATTATCATTTAAGCTCGATTCATGTTAATACTTTAATGTTTTTTTTTCTTTCTTTTTCTTTTCATTTTAGTTATATTTCATGCGGTATCGTTTTGATAAATGCGAGGTATGTAACTATAATATTTTCAAAATTAACAATCTAATATTGAAGGTACATGGAGATATGTAGTAATGTTTTTTTACATTTTTTTGTATCTAAAATTCGTTAATATTTAAAGTATACATGCCATGAAAAAAAAGTTAGTAAATGGAGAATAAAACGAATTTCAATCTTTCCTGTACCATAATTTGTAAATCGTATTTTCTTTATATTTCAAAATAATATTACTAATAATGA